TTTTTTTAAGTTAAATAAATACATGAATACACTTAAAAAAATTTTAATGCCTTTTAAACAAGAGGGAAAGAAAGCTTGGAATTAAAACGCTGTCTTCCATTTTTTACCACATGTACCTGACTAATCAGTTAGATGTAAATGAAAAACAACTATGTTTTAAAACACAAGCTGTCATGGGGCGCCTGGGTGGCGCAGTCGGTTAAGCGTCCGACTTCAGCCAGGTCACGATCTCGCGGTCCGTGAGTTCGAGCCCCGCATCAGGCTCTGGGCTGATGGCTCAGAGCCTGGAGCCTGTTTCCGATTCTGTGTCTCCCTCTCTCTCTGCCCCTCCCCCGTTCATGCTCTGTCTCTCTCTATCCCCAAAAATAAAATAAACGTTGAAGAAAAAAAATTTAAAAAAACACAAGCTGTCATTTTTATTGAATGGAATATACTGTAATTGAAAAGCTTACTGATATGTTGGCAAGGGTAGGAGAAGTCAGCAAACTTTTTTATACTGTTTTGAGAGGATTGGTGAAATCATTTAACAGTTCTGGGGCACGTATGTAAACATTGATGCTAGGTTTTATTTTTAAAAAATATTTCTTAAGATTTTTTTATTTTTAAGTAATCTCTGCACTTAGTGTGAGGTTTGAACTCACGAACCCAAGATCAAGAGTTGTACAGTCCACTGACTAAGCCAGCCAGGCACCCCAGGGATCCTGTAGTTTTATACCTAGGAATTGATATTATAGGGATTTTTTTGTTTTTTGTTTTTTTTTTAAGTTTATTTTGGGAGAGAGGGAGAGAGAGTACGCAGGGGAGGGGCAGAGAGAGAGAATCCCAAGCAGGCTCCCTGCTGTCAGCATGGAGCCCGATGCAGGGCTCGATCTCATAAACCTCAAGATCATGACCGGAGCCAAAATCAAGAGTTGGACGCTTAACCACTTAACCGACTGAGCTGGGGTACATGAGTACAGATATCATGTATAAAGATGTTTGTAAGAAAGAAATTTTGGAAGCAACCTAAATGTCTATCAGGAGGGTATTGGTTAAATTGTGATATATCCATGCAGTGGAATACCATACAACTGTTACAGTGATGGACGTAGATATTCATACATGATCATGAAGCACGGAGCTGCACAGCGGGTGGAGTTTGGCCCTATTTGTCCAAACAAGGGCATCTGTGGGTCACCTGGCTGGCTCAGTAGGCAGAGCATGTGACTTTTTTTTTTTTAATGTTTATTTTTGAGAGAGAGGGAGACAGTGCACGTGTGGGAGGGGCAGAGAGAGAGGGAGACACAGAATCAGAAGCAGGTTGCAGGCTCCGAGCCATCAGCACAGAGCCCGACGCGAACTCGAAGTCACATGCTGGGAGATCATGACCTGAGCCACAGTCGGATGCTTAACCGACTGAGCCACCCAGGTGCCCCTCTTTATTTATTTATTTATTTTTGTTAGGTTTATTTTGACAGGGAGAGTGACGGGGGGAGGGGCAGAGAGAGAGCAAGAGACAGAATACCTGCTGTCAGTATAGAGCCCGATTCAGGGCTTGATCTAATGAACCTCAAGATCATGACCTGAGCCTAGATCAAGTGTCAGACACTTAACCTACTGAACCACCCAGATGCCTCAGAGCATGTGACTCTTGATCTTGGAGTCTTGAGTTCGAGCCCCATGTTGGGTGTAGAGCTTACCTTAAAAAGAAGAAAAAAACAGGATGTCTGTATCCATGTGTACATACATGTGTTTGTATATGTATAACATTTTCTGGAAAGATAAATAAAAAGTAGTAAGCAGTGACCACCTCTGGGGTTGGGGGGCCCTTAAAGGTTTAAAAATAAGCCTTAAAGGTTTATTTTTTATTGTCTGCTTGAATTTCATTATAACAAGCATACTATGTTTTATAATTAAAAATGCTTTTTTAAAAAACAGAAGACTTAGTAGTTTTTGAAGTCTACATTAAAGATCTGCCACTATGGAAACTGGCTTCCCTACTGACCTAGGTTGCTAGGACCTGTGGTCCCCCCCGGCCTACTTTCAGTTCTGGGGCCCCAGAATCCTAGAAATGGAGGAGCTCAGAGAGGTGACTTCTGTCTCAGCAGCTATATTTCATGATGTCCCCTTGAGCCAGTGCCCTTCTCCTTCCCAGTGGTACTCTGTGTTTCTGGGAAGACCCAGCCTGACCTTTCCCATTATGGGCAAGCGAGAAAGGAAATGTGGGGTGAGCTGGATGTGGACCCCAGAAGCTGCTGTGTACACGTGGGGGTTCTTGTTTGATTTTTT